CTTTGGTCTTGGAATGCACTATTTATTCAGTATGAAGTATTCAGTATTCAATCTTTTTTGAAATGGCTGTATAACTTCGAAAGAGTCCTAACGGAATCTTCTATCCTTGAGAAACAACTTACATAGCAGGATCGTAAGGTCTTTTGCTTCGATCGGCTTGAGATTGCTCAACTTTTATCGTAGAGTTGACAGATTCCACCTAGAATCCAAAACAAAGTTAGTTACCTGAACTACTTAATTGTCCTTTGAGCTTTAAGGCGCATGCACGGAGTTGAAAAACCGCAGGTTTGCACCTCCGAAAAGTCTCCGAACAAAGCGAGAAACCGAATCGTGACAAAACCGTGAGACATAACCCCTTGCGTCTTGCATCCCTCAAAATAAACTCACAAAAGATATCTGGCACAGTAATGTGTATAATATAACGAATGGGAAAGCAAAAATATAACATATGGGAAAGCAAAAAWATATATATAYACGTCGCAAGCAGGATTCGAACCTGCGCGGGGAGACCCCATTTGATTTCTAGTCAAACGCCTTAACCACTCGGCCATCGCGACCTCTTTGGAATRTCCCCTTGCGCCTTGCATCTTTGTATAAATATCAAAAGAATGATTATTGGCGATAAAAATTTCGCGTCGCCAGCAGGATTCGAACCTGCGCGGGGAGACCCCATTTGATTTCTAGTCAAAAGCCTTAACCGCTCGGCCATCGCGACCTCTTTGAATATCCCCTTGCGCCTTGCATCGTCTTTATTCAACCAAGCTATTTAAAAAACAAAATTTCTTTCAAAGTTCTGGTCTTAAATTTTCACGAACGATCTTCAAGCGAACGCAGTCGTTCGAATCAAAAATGCGTTTAGAGCCTACTTCTAATTATTATGCATACCATTTTTTCTCGGGTTAAATAAAATACTTTTGTACTTGTCTCGAACTTTATCACGCGAAGCCCGAGCGAACGCAATCATTMCTCAAAATAAACTTATAAAAAATATCTGGCACAGTAATGTGTAATATAACGTTTGGGCAAGCAAAAGATATATAAACGTCGCGAGCAGGATTCGAACCTGCGCGGGGAGACCCCATTTGATTTCTAGTCAAACGCCTTAACCGCTCGGCCATCKCGACCACGCTGAAGAAATATCAAACATCTCTATTGTTGTATAATTGTAGTCAAACATAATTTCTATACTCTACGGACATCTTGTCAATTCCTTTACAATTCAAAAATATTTTCGCATAATTTCAATAAACATTCRCTGAAAATTACTATATTTTGATTGTATTTTTCTTATCAAGCACRATTTCCAATAAATATTCAAGAGCAAGTAGCGTTAAGCTAATTCCAATTAATTGAGCATGCGCTGWRAGCAGTAGCGCGGAAACCTTGATGCATGTATGGAACGTTACGTCATCGCGGCTATATTGGCGGTATTTAACAAAAGATTCCTCATTAGCTTCTATAGTTATTACCATGGCCGCCATGTCTTTGTCATTTGACTCTCTTGTGAAAGCTTACCGAACCCAATAATTAAGCGACCAAACTGTATACAGTAATGA